ATTGGCCCAGATAGTCTCAAAATAAAGCAGCTCTGGCATCTCCCCCCCACCCCTATCCAGCGTCAGAGACTGAGAATCATTCAGCCCACTTTGTGTGAGCCCAGGCCATCATGGGCTTCTATTTGGATTCTCAGTACTCCTGGACAGAGAAGTGGAGTTTAAAGAAGAACTCCGGGGAAACATTTTATTAAGCCTTGCAGTGGAGATTCCCCCCGAACTGCAAGAGTTAACTGTCCATTTGTGTCTAGGTGCTAAAAAAAAACAAAAAAAAGGTATAATCGCCCGATAATTTCTGCCGCCTTGTTCTTAGACCGGTCCCTAGAGCCTCTCTCCCCCTCCTTTGCAGCGGTCTATCCTTGTGCCATCACATTCTATACAAGTGTATAAACATGAGGATGCTGAGGAACATTCCATCTGTGCAGCGCAGGAGACAAGCTTCAGTGACTGGATAAGCAGGAGGCCGGCTCAGCGGTTTGGGTGAGTATGACAAAAAAGGAGCAGTTAACCCTTGCAGTGCAGTGGAAGCCCCACTGCAGGGGTTAAAAAAATATGTATCCAAAGTTCTTCTTTAAGGTTGGTAAACAAACTATTGAGAAAATGCACTTGTGATCTGTCAAATCTGCTTTGAATCCTGCAAGGATCTACAAAAGGGGCTTTTTAAAATTCCTGAACTGTCCGAGGGCCTCTGTGATGCCGCAATCAGTAGCAAAAACACAAGCCTGACCTGCCTGCTTAAAAACAGAGCAGCTTACCAATCTCCTCACAACAGCTGTGTACTGAATGTGTTCCAATGTGGACATAATGAGCAGGAGGCACATGGGGGTATTTGCATATTAACTAGCCTATTGTCTTATAGAGGTCTGAACAACATCTGAATCCTGGGAATCCGCTTTGCATACTTTCCGCATGACCCCGCGCATTTCTACCTGTTCCCGTGATCTAATCCAGGAATCTACTGTGCAATCTGGAGAACAACGGGGCTGGACTTTACATTCACACACTGCTCATTCCAAAGGCTCTAAATATAGCCAGCTCCTCCATAACCTCACATGGAGCGAAGGAGACCAGACTTGTGTCACAAGGTATCCCCTGCGCTTACAAAATCCAGACGCAGATAGCAATCCCACTGCGGGGCCCAGGGGACAAGTCCAGGAAGAAGAGACAAGATCTCTAGATTGCGGCTTGGAGGCTGTAATGATGTAAACACTTCTGTGCTCCATATCTAGACCTGCTGCGGCTTCAAAGTGCCAGGTGGTCCCCTTTGTCAGCTGCTCTCTAGAGACTTTGCTGCTGGTGGAAACCCTATACGCATATATGGGTAGGTGGTAGTGGGTCACAATTCATATCAAGACCTTCTGCAGCTTCAAAGTGCTAGGTGCTCCCCCTTGCTAGTTGCTCTCTAAAGGGCCTCAATGCTGGCAGGAACCCTGTACACATCTATGGGTAGGTGGTGGTGGGTCACAGTCCATATCAAGACCTCCTGCGGCTCCAAAGTGACAGATGATCCTCCTTTGCCAGCGGCTCTCTGGAGGCTTTCCTGCTGGCAGAAAACCTATAGACATCTATGGGTAGCTGGTAGTGGGTCACAGTCCATATCAAGACCTGCTGCAGCTTCAGAGTGCCAGATGATCCTCCCTTTGCCAGCTGCTCCCTGGAGGTTTTTTTGCTGTCAGAAACCCTATAGACATCTATGGGTAGCTGGTAGTGGGTAGCTGGAAGTGGCTCACAGTCCATATCACTGCTGCAGCTTCAGAGAGCCAGGTGATCCCCAATGCCAGCTGCTCTCTAGAGACTTTGCTGCTGTTGCAAACCCTATAGACATCTATGGGTAGGTGGTAGTGGGTCACAATTCATATCAAGACCTGCTGCAGCTTCAAAGTGCTAGGTGCTCCACCTTGCTAGTTGCTCTCTATAGGCTTCAATGCTGGCAGAAACCCTATAGACATCTATGGGTAGCTGGTAATGGGTCACAGTCCATATTAAGACCTGCTGAAGCTTCAGCGTGCCAGGTGATCCCAAATGCCAGCTGCTCTCTAGAGACTTTGCTGCTGGCAGAAACCCTATAGACATCTATAGTTGGGTGGTAGTGGGTCCAGGCACCTGTGACCCACTACCACCCACTTTGAAGGTGCAGATCACTGAAAGAACAGACTGCCCAGATAATTACAATGACATATGAGAAGGTAAACTAACTGAAATAAAATAACTGCCATGCACAAACCTGAAGGCTCCTGGCTCATTGCCACCTCAGTGGTATAAGAAAGGGTAAGAACCTCTGTCAGTTTTATTTTTGTTATAGCCATCTGTATTCCCACTGGAGAGATTCAACCTAGATGTGGTGACTCCATTAGTGGACTGGTAAGCTGTAATATATTACATTTTTACTTCTGTGTTCAGACACACTTTAATGCAACTCTGTAGAGTGGATTTTCCAGATCTTCTGTAACTGGATGCAGATGATGCATGTAGCCCTGAGGCCAGGCTGTTTACCTGTATGGGTGGCTCGATCATAATCCACGCTGGCAGCATCATGCTCGGATTTAGTGGCTGGGTTCCCACACGGAAGTAAACGACTCCACTGGTGTCACATGCCCAGATGTGCTGATTGCCGCAGGACAGGCTGCAAAGCCTCACTTGTCCTGCAAAGACACAAAGAGGAAAAGCATAAATCCAGATGTAAACACAAAACACCAAATCTGATCAAGTGTGCCTTGAAGTAAACTCAACAAATTCAGCCTCATCTCCCTCCTTGGCAGTGGCGTAACTATAGCCATAGCAGGCCAGACGGCTGCTATGGGACCTGGGGGTGGAAGGGGGCCCCATTAGGTTGTTGAGGCAAATTAAACCTAGAACATGTAAAGATAATACTGTACTCTATCATTTAAGTCTACAGTGTAGAGACGACTTCAGATGATCAAGAGGAGTCTTTGGCATAATTATTCACAGCTCAGAGAGAGGTTGTCAGCAGGGCCCCCATCAAATTTTTGCTATGGGGTCCCGTGATCTGTAGTTACGGCCCTGCTCCTCAGCATCATTCACAATACAATCACATACCAGGGATTGATAAAAGTGCTAGTTTGATATTGCCTGGCCTGCCCAGGACATGCATACTACACATCATCTCTTCAGCCACCCTGAAAACCAGCCAATGTACGGGTAGATACCATGGAGAGTAACTGGTGTCTGACTTGAGGCATGAACCAGGCATTGGCTGTTATTCTCTGCTGAGTCTCCTTGCACATGAGCTGTATTCCAAAGCAAGCTGGGACCGCTGAATAAAACGACTTTGCCATTCCTAGGCAGGTTGAACAGTGTAAAACTAGCATTTTCATTAATACAGGTACATAATTATATCATGATGTTAGTTTGCCACAGCCAGCGAGCTAAACAAAATAAATCCAAGAGATTCCTCCATGCATGCTAAACAGGGTGGATTGAGAAATCTCCCCTGCTGGGCTATACTATTCTGACAGCCGGTGTTCTATCAAAGAGCTGTGACTACATTGAAATGCGTGACCAGTGACGTGGTCACACATTTCAACATAATCCCGCCCAGTTTTACAGCGGTGGAATGTGTGACCGCCCATTAGGTCAAGCATTCCAACGCTTTGTCAGCTGTTTAAAAGGGAAGATCGGCTTTTTATTGCCCTCTGTGCATCAGGACAGGAACTTTAGAGAACCTCTTCAAAGGAGATACTTAATTTTTTTTACTAAAGCACAAAGGAGATACTTATTTTTTTTTACTAAAGCAATGAAGGCTTACAACGCCTTAAACTGTTTTTATTGCCATCTGTACCTTCCTGTCCCTGGCGTCACAGGGGCAGGAAGTGTGGGGAAATCTTTACCTTTTTGCTCTTGTTTTCCTTTAAAGTGACACTAAACTCCGGAGTGAAATCTTTAACATGCCTTTACGTACCTTAACTATTAACAACAATGTATCATATTTGCGTAAACATCTCTTGTGCTATCCTTTATTCTATTATCTGCAATAAGTTTCCATGTTTCTAGGCAACTTGAATGTATTCCTTTAAATAAGGCAAGAGATATTGACTGAGGCTTACCAGCAGCACACAATGCGCAGATTCCAAAATAAAAGCATATCAACCACTTCCCTGGTGTTGGTTAGTAACCTGCCGGGACTACACCCCAAACAAACACACAGCACGCTGTACAGACAAGGTCATGTTTCAAAGGGATGGGCTGTGCTTACAATGGGGTCAATTGCTGGAAGGGAAACCTGTAAAGAACAGCAGATATCTGAGAAACGAAAGTGGCTTGTGTGCGTCCACATAGCAGCAGAAGGTCAAGTGCTGGGCTTGACAAAGAGATACTTGCCTATTCTTAAGCGATGATCTAGTATCCAGCTTGACTCTGGCACAATACAATGCTTTTTTCACTCTTTAATAGAGAAAAGCCCAATTCCTGGCTAAAAAAAAGATACACCTAGCACCTAGTTTTTTTTTAAACCCCATTGTTACTTATCCAAATCCAGTCATGTGACCCTCGATGTTGCCTCTCCCATTAGTGGAGACCAGAGATTGCTTGCTACTCTCTACTGGTTTCCTGACCGGTCTTGTTACTCCCTTGTGATATTACAACACAGGTCCTTTAAAGTGTATATAAAGTCCAAAGCTTTTTCTTTTCATCTGGATTGAGTGATTCCTTGTCCGGTCAGAGAGATTGCCCTTTCACTTCCTGTCCCAGAGACATAAGGAAGAGGAGATCTCTCCAAAATTTGGGAAAATTTGCCCTTTTTGCTATGACAATTTAAAAATTAGGGATTTACCATAACTTTCTGTACTAGAAGCAATGGTCATCAGGACCAATAGAGAGGGTGAGTTTTCCCAGCATGGACACAGACAGTTATTAACACGAGGCGAAGGTTCTAACCCTTTCACACTCTATTCAAAACTAAAGTAAAAGGTTTGGGCTTTACATACATTTTAAGACTAGTGGACCTTCTGTGAACACAGGTGATGGACGCTGTCCGTAGCCAAAAGACTGTACTCCCGTCACCAGGAAAAGATGTGCACACTGAAAAGACGACCCTCTCACATGTCAAAGCAGATGAAGGGAAAAGGGGACCTAGGCTGTCATGTGATTGCCATTTCAGGTATTTGGGGTCTTTTTTTAAAATTTAATACAGATTTGTAATATGCTGGTGAAGAGGGAGGGTAAAGGGGTTTGAATTAAATGCCCTGGGATGAGCTTTAAGACTGAGCCTACACGAAGGGGAGATTTTCCAATAGGCTAGAAACTCACCCTATGCAATAACCACAACTGTTAAAGGCACTTGTACTTGCCCTCTCCTAAGCAGGCCAAAAACAGGCCAATGAGCACAAGCAATGTTAAAGTCAGGAACATGAATAGATTTAATGTGTGAATGCAAATGTCCAAGCTCATGGTATCTGTGCACCATCAGTCATTCAGGTTCCTGTGGTTCCCAGCTCTATAGGTTCTGGCACACACACGAGATTCTACAGGCTGGGGAGAGTGGCATGTACAGGACTTTGGCCTGAAGCCTGGACATAGTACTAGATGACAGGAGATTGTCCCATAACATTATGTCATCAGAGTCCCTAGTACAAGGATGATGCCATGACTATGCACAGCCGGAATTGTATTACCCAGGATATACTGTTCTCCCTGCCTCTGGAAGTACAGTTAAGCAGCCTTGTATCAGTATAATGAAATGGAACTTTAAAATGGATTTTTAGAATGAGTTCTCAGGTATTGGCTCTATTTCAAAGTTTGCAGTTGTAAATGCCTGGGATTCTATAGTAGGGTTAATTCATGCAGAAGAGCGCATAGATAGTAAAGGAGCCAACCTGTAGTAAGTCAGGATTGTGTAGTAAAACGCTTCTCTCTATTTTGTTGGTCACCCTCAGAAACCCATTCCAGCAGCCCGTACAATTCATACAGGAAATCAAGTTGCTTCTAAAATGGGGGCTGTAATAGCCACAGAGAGAGCAGAGCAGCATTGTTAAATCACATATAGAATCAAAGCTGCTTAGCATTGCTGGTTCCGGGGAAAGCTTCCCAAACAAGTCTCTCAGCCTAGAATGGAACTGACCCAAAAGGTACTGCTTCGAAGGTTGATGCCATCAATCCCAGAATTCTCATGCAGGTTCTCAAAGAAGAACAGCGATGGGGGTCCAAGCGACTGAACTTGATCCCGCAACTTCAATATTTTGTTCTGAGAAAGGAACACGTTTGCTTGAAGGGTATACAACAGAAGACCCAAATATTCCAAGCAGTGTGACGGAACTGGGGACGACTTCTCGATGCTCAGAATCCACCCGAAGTCCACTAATGTCCGCAGCACTGTCTAGACATTGAGCTCCAAAGTAGGAAGATGGTGTTCTCAAAGTAAAAGGTTGTCTAAGTATCGGATAATTAGAATGCCCTTGTGACGAAAAAAATCCCAGAACCGAAGCAAGAACTTTTGTAAAAATCAGGGATGCACCAATACCAGTTTTTCGCTATCGAGTACCAATATTTTTTTTTCCGCTATTCGACAATACTGAATTACGATACCGGAAGTCCCATTAAGGAAGCCGTGCGGGGTGTAATGACTCGCTGCCCTGCTTACCTATTAGCCGGGCAGCTGACGCCATGCTCCCTCGTCACAAGGTGATGAGAAAGCATGGAGCCGGCATTCTGGCAAATCTATTGTTAATAGTTAAGGTACGTAAATCAGGCAAATCAGGAAGCTGGGGGTGTTATGAAAAGCTGCCTGGCTTTCTGATTGGCTAGCTTCTCCACCAATCAGGAAGCCGGGTGGGGAGTCATTATACGCTGCCCGGCTTCCTGATTGACCGGGAAGCCGGCTTCATGCTCCAAGTGAAGAGGGAGCATGAAGCCAGCGTCCCAGCCTATCAGGAAATAAGTACCAGTAATGGGATAGACATGGAGAGCATTTGGGCGAGTGCGAGTATCACCTGGTGACAAGGGAGCATGTAGCTGGCTTCCCGGCCAATCAGGAACCCGGGCGCCGCATCATTACACAGCGTCACCTGTTGACGAGAAGCACGGAGACTGCTTCCCTGCTAATCCGGAAGCCAGCTGGCGAGTCATTATACGCCGCCTGGCTTCCTTAATGGGACTTCCGGTATCGGCGAATACCGAAACAAATATATCGGTACTCGTACTCGATACCGAAAACCCGGTATCGGTGCATCCCTAGAAATGACCCTTTAAGAAGTGTTTATATTATTCATTCAAAAAAAAAAACATTTTTGAAATAGAAAAAATGATACATAGCAATGGTAAAAGTATTCCGTTTAATAACGGTTTACCATCATATTAGATAACAAAAAGAAGTGCTAAAATATATGTAACCCTTCCGCAGGGCCAACATATTTTTTGCCCCATAAACATTGTGTCCTCAAACATGACATTCCTTTGCTGATATTAAGTTACAAAGTCGTTCTAGTCTGTGGGGCCTCGCAGCTCCGTGTGACTCGGGTCTTAGATATCGCTGTCACATGAGTCCTCAGCTGTCGAAAGGCGTCGTACCAGCGTCACTGGCTGGCTGGCACTTATATAAAATGGTGTGCCTGTACGCCGTCTATAAACACACGTATCATGTGAAACTTCCTATCCTGATGAACCGCAGACCAAAAAGGAAAAAAAAAAAAAGTTATGTCAGAAAAGTAACACCTATGCATGCTTTCCGCTACAGATAATCGGATGTGTGAAACTGTGGCATTGAGAGCGGGGCTCTGTCAGTGTAGAGTGAAAGTGGAGAGGGAGTTCTAAGTTTAGAAGTCCTGATACTGATAGTGTAACCTTACACAAATGTCACTCTGCAGATATAGAGCCTATTGACGACAAGGAGCAAATATTGCGTTTGCAGGGCATGAAAATGTATTTCCTCAGCATGCCAGCCTTTCAAACTGCACAGCCGAAGGAAAATACCGGGGTTTAGTGACAAACAGTACTATGCAAAGCAACAATGTTTCCGGGGTGTAACAAAGCAGGTGAATGCTAGAGTCATGATAAAAAAGAAATATACAGTATTTGCGATGAGAACATATTGGTGTTAATAATGCAATATTTGCCTTAAACCTTTTTTTTTTGCATGTGGCCTTTACCTGCCTGCTTATTGCTCAATCTTTTCATGATGCCAATGACTAGATCAGGGGGGGATAAACGTCCGGCCTTCCAGCTGTGGGGAAATTACAAATCCCATTATGCATTTGTCTCTGAGAGTCATGTCTGTGGTTGTGAGAAAACTTGCATTGCCTCATGCGATTTGTAGTTCCACAACAGCTGGAGGGTCAGAGTTTGCCCACCTCTGCACTAAATGCATGTTAAAGCTGAAAGCAAATATTGTCTATATATAGGAGGCATGCCTATTCTTAAATCTTGATGTGCTTTGTATATCTCTTTCAAGTTTGTGCATTAATCTAGCTTGGCACTTTGTCTTTGTGCAGAAGGTTCCTGTAATAAAAAACAGTTACTGCTGCTCTCTCTCCTTGTGCAGGGTGACTGGTCTTGTATCTGCCCTCCTCCTCTAGTTTTCTGCTGGTAGCCTGTAGTGGATGGGGGCCTGCTCGGTCCATCTCACAGCTCTGCTCTCTGTACAGCTTTGATTTTGTTGCTACTTTTACAAGGCAATAACTACATTCCCAAAGGCATTTGTGGCTATTGAGGAATACATGAATGTATTTGTTTCCGGAGTTCAGCTTTAATATATTCAAAAGGATAAGCAACCTTCAGAGTGTCCACAATAAACAGATTGGTAGGCAGTGACGTAAAGGAATTGAAAGCAGAGTACAGTGCTACAGGGCTTTAAAGTACAAAGCTGAAAGGAAAACCTGTATATGTAATGAGCAGAGCAGATGTGGCCACTCCCATGTTTCCCATGTTCCTCTATTAAAGCCTGAAGGCCAGTACCAAGGGGTGGGGAGCAAAGGTGTGGATGTTGTGTGAATGTGTGCATTGCAATGCAATGTTTATTGATATCATTCACAAGCCTACCAGGTCTACATCTAGCTACGAAGTGCACATAAACTGGACATGTTATTATAAGTACTTCCCAAAACTGTCAGACTCACCCAATTGAGAGAGGTCCAGTCTCGTCCAATGCATCCCGGTAGGGCAGGTTTTAGAAAGTGTTCGGATGAGCACTCCTCCATGGGCATCTAACGCCCATACAGCATCTGCACAGGCTGACATGTGGACCATTTCTGTGTCTGGTGGAAGCTGCACGGTGGAAGGTCTGTATGGTGGAGTCAGATCACTCAGACAGAAAAGATCTTTTCTGCTCTGAGAAATCCAGAGGACATTTCCTGGAAAACATAAATGAAAAAGACATCAAGATAGTATGAGAAGCATTACCATATGCGCTGGATAGAAAATGGCCCCAGTGGCTCAATCGTAACATTAATGCCAAGAAAAACTGAGGGGTGGCCAAACGCTCCAGCTGTCATTCCTTTAAACTCTTTCAAGTGTATCCACTTTGATTAAACAAATGAGCTAAAAGGGGAGATTGGTCAGATCTTTCCTTAACACTCACGTCTTGGAGTCAACAACAGGAAGTGAGAGGAATTCTATAAAACATGAGGGGATTTTCCCTTTTAGTGCCGATTCACAGCAGATGCTGCGCTAATCACCCCGGCACAGTGTTAGAACATTATTTGACATTTGATTCAGTTCTACGGGCACATCGGGGTGCAAGGCGGTACTTTTTTTTTTTTCCAGCGCACACCACTGCATTTCTACCGCAATGCATTGGTGACCATCCGTGACAAGACAAATTGGCTTGTCTTGCATTGGGGCTGTACTGGAAATGGTGGCATTAGCAGCGCAGCTCCAACGCAGATGGTGTGAATCAGCCCTTAGACACTTGTCACCAAAACTTATACCCACTGGAAGATTTCCCCTCTATTCCAGCTCACGTGACGACTCAAAATTTAGTATTTTCCCTCATCTTCATTTAGACAACTGGGTAGTTTTTACACTAAAAACAGGAAGCCTTTGCACCATGATATAATTACATACCATCGTTGATATTGCCACGCTCAGATCCAAACACAGTCTGCATTCCCTGTGCAAATTGTATTCTGGAGTAGCCATATTTAAGTGCCTCTGGCTGCACAGATGGAACTTACTTACTAGTTTAAATTTCACCCATGAACAGCCAACCAAGTGTTGTGGAATGTCTAAGGACTGGTTATAATTGACCATTTTTGTGCAGTTGAATGTATGTGAAGATGAACACAAAGTGCGTGATAAGATCTGTGCCATTATTGTCAATGAGACTGGAGCGGCAAGAAGAAAATGCAGTGTCATTGACTAGAATAGCGGATGCCACCATTGACTAAAATGGCACAGATCCAATCATGCACTTTGCAGTTTCAAATGCATTTAACTGCACCCAGAATACATAACTATGAACAGGACCTTCACTTGGCAATAGGTCTTGCCGAGCTGTAAGCATCAGCATGAACTGGGCAGGGATAGGCTCTTTCCAAAAAAAAACATTTACTTCTACTTCATGCATTTGCTTTGTAATTTTGTACTTGTAAAATGTTCCTTTTAACAGTCTGATCACTATTTTATAAGGAAGTAAACTAAGTATTATTTATTAAACACCTGTTGTTTTACTACAATCTTTTGCCACTGGTAATCTATTAAAATAGGATGTACATAGTGTTCAGAGTACACGTTGGCTGCCTTCCATTCTAAGACTTTGTTGCTGCTCCAGCAAATATTAATTTGGGAAACAGTGGAGGTCCTGCCAAGGCTACGGTAGCCGTGTGTTTTCACAGAGCGCTGTATATATTCATAGGGAGAGGAAGCAGCGGCTTCTACAACCCACAGTGATGTATAAACACTGGAAAAGAAGTCCAAAGGCTGCATTTTCGTACCTTCACCACTTGGGGAGGGAGATGCAAAGACGTTTATCCACTTGGTGGTGGAGGTTGTGCCTCGTGGTACAATGTGGTGCCAGTAAGTGCCTGCAGAAAGAAAGAGTCAAGAAAAAGTAAAACACCAAACAAAAGGTTAACTTTAACAATCCAAAGGTTGCGCACGGCACCCAAAGTGTAGCCATTAGAATCGTAGCAGGTCAGAAACAACCTGACTTACTACTAATATTGGCAACACCGAAATTCCCCCTTTCTTTTGTTTCTTATTCTTTCAAAGGAGTAGTTTAATTGTGCGTTATTACACAGCTTACAGAGCTTGCACAAATTATCTTCAGCTGTGTGACTTATTTTCAACTCTTGTTTCTGAAAATAATTGTTGTATTGAATAACGTTGAATGAATGGAGCTTTCTAAATGACTGAGAATAATGTTATTGTGCCATGTTTGGGCCCTACCACTTGCAACATCAGGAGTATAAGGACCCCCCCTCTCTGAAATGTGTTGGCTGTTTTCTGTTATCTTGCTGTGAATACCATCATTAATAGGTTTTGGACTCTCAGACCTTTTGTTTGGCACTCTTATTAGACTGTATATAGATAGACATGCTAAATATGACTGTGCTCTTCAGCAGGTACCAGAGGTAGACCTACTGTACTCAGAAACAGACCTGGTCACACACACCCTCTCTCTTCCTTCCCAATACAAGTTTGCAATTGTATGTTTGTGATGAGGGGCATGGCAATTACTCAGCTATGCCAGCATAGAGCACCAGAGTGGGAGAGCAGGAAGGGGTTTTCGGAGAACAGTCAGATCCAGAAAAGGCCAGTCTGCATTTCTGCTGACTCAGACTCCGGGACATGTGGAGAGTAAATATTGCAGAAGTTAAAAAAAAGGGATAAAGCTGGCTGTACAGGTAGGTGCAGGAGATAAATGCCAGCATGAACAGCTTAACTGATCAGCAGGTAAACGGAGCCTAACTGACTTTTTTCAGTAAAAAATGCTCGTGCTGGACCGCAGTGTGCAATTACTCACCTATAAGATTTCCCTTTGCCACATGAAACTCATTTTTCCCAGAAGTGATCCACACGCCACTGCTGTTAACCCCGAGGAGGCTGGGCTGGCACTGCGATTGCTGGGACCAGACCATCATGCGGAGTTTGTCTGCCATTTTTTCTACGGGGGCCTGAGCAACCGTGGCAACCGTCTGCGTGGCCTGGATGAGGGTCTGGAACAAGGTGTAATGGTCAACGACGACGTAATCTGTGATGCTGACCTGGAAAAAATGTCACCGGTATTAATAAACATTACCTTTCATTTACCTTCAACTGTGTGACTTATTTTCAACTCTTGTTTCTGAAAATAATTGTTGTATTGAATAACGTTTAATGAATGGAGCTTTCTAAGTGACTGAGAATAATGTTTTTGTGCCATGTTTGGGCCCTACCACTTTGAATTACAATGTTTTTAAGAAGTAACTCTGTTACAAATCATTCCTATGTTATTGCAAAAACAAACAAAAAAACTACTTCCCACTTTTTCCTTTTAATTCCTTCTGTAATTCTTTATCTACAGCCCTGTAGGTCCACCTGTGCCACTTTGGCATATTTCGTGCAGCCCTTGCAGGTGGTAGTCTCTGTTTTCATTACCTAGGAAATCTCCAGGACACAGAGACAGCAATATAAAACTGACAAATGTCCTAATTAGGGATGCACAGATACCGTTTTCTCCGTATCGAGTACAAGTACCGATATTTATATTACGGTACTCGCAGATATAGGTTACCAATACCAGTACTTCCGCTAGCATGGAGTCCGGCTTCCCGGGCAATCAGGAAGCCGGACGGCGTGTCATTACCTGATGCTCGGCATCTTGATTGCCCGGGAAGCCGGCTCTATGCCGATTGGCCGAGAAGCCGGCTTTTCAGCCAATCAGCATCGAGCCAGCTTCCCAGCCAATCAGCATCAAGCCAGCTTCCCAGCCAATCAGCATCGAGCCCGCTGAAGAAAGATTCATGATGTTTGGCTGGATCGATGCTGATTGGCAAGGAAGCCGGCTTCCAAGCCAATCATCATGGAGCTGGGAGGTGGTCCATTTCCCATCAACAGAGGACACTGGAGGTAACGGGAGGTATACTGAGACGCCGCAGCTGAAACAGATCCCGACACACATGGAGCTGGGAGGTTTTCCATTTAGAGCCAGCTTCCCAGCCAATCAGCATCGAGCCAGCTTCCCAGCCAATCAGGAAGCCAGAAGGTGTATCATTACTCGCCACGCAGCTTCCTGATTGGCCGGGAAGCAGACTCCATGCTGTTTGGCCGGATCTATGCTGATTGGCTGGGAAGCCGGCTCCATGTTCCCTCGCAGCACTGCCGGTCAGAGGAAATTTCCCTCTGACCGAAGTTCCGGTATTGGGAAAGGAATTGGAGCATTTGGACGAGTACAAGTACTCGCCCAATTACTCGGTATTGGCACAGATAATAGTATCGGTACATCCCTAGTCCTAACCTTACTCTACACCATCCCAACCATAAAAAAATAGGTAGAATTTAAAAAAAAAAGATAAACTTGGCTTCAAAGCAGAAACAAATGTAAATTTCAACATGTAGTCTGCCCATGCTGGGCAAAATGACAGGTTCACTTAACTGTAGGGAACCCAAAAAGCCGGTATCTACCTTCCCTGCCCATCCCTCACCTCTTCCCCATTGCCCAGTTCTGCTACCAGGCCGAAAAATTGCTGTGCAAGTTTTAGTCTGTTCATTTCCTAAAAGCTGATCTGGGTGGCAAAGTCAGCATTCCAAGGTCACTATCACACAAACATACCAGGGCCAATTTAGACAGGAGTCAATTAACCTTCCAGCGTGTCTTTTAAATGTGGCAGGAAACCAGCGTACTCAGAGGTAACCCACGCAAGCACAGGGAGAACATGCAAACTCCTTGCAGAGCGTGTCCTGATCGGGATCCCCAATTGGTGCAAGGCAGAAGTGCTAACCACTAACTCACTAAATTAAAGCATTGTTACTGGGAAGTGTCCTGCAGGAAGAGTATATGTGACATGGTACCATGCACCCCCAAAAAGAGAAAGGAAGGCTTGTTTTTCTAACATATAAACTTAAAAAACAAACAATCAAATAATACATTTCTGTCTACGTTCAGTTTGACTCTTGACTCTGAAAGAGAGATAAAATGCCTACTTGCCACCAATGGTCATCTTCTCCTTGTGGCTTCTTAGGCGTCACTCCAGTCCTGAACCACAGATTACCATTGGCGTCCAGGGCCCACACCGTTTCTTGATCACCCAGCGTCACACACACCGGTTCTAGAGCTTGTCTTTCACTGCGGAAACACAATGCATTTCACTGTTGCAGTGATATAAATACAGTATATACTCGAGTATAAGCCGATCCGAATATAAGCCGAGGTACCTAATTTTACCACAAAAAAACTGGGAAAAAATATTGACTCGAGTATAAGCCGAGGGTGGGAAATGAGGCAGCTACTGGTAAATGTACAAAATGAAGATAGATACCAATAAAATTACATGAATATTTATTTAAAAGAAAAACAATAACCTAGCTCTGTAAGTGGAAAAGGGGGTACAGGGCTACATATCATGTACTACGGATCATTTAACCCATTCATATTAGCAGAGGATAATTGTAAATCTATTGTTCAGTGCATTCTATATGTAGTATATAGTACATGTACATATAGAGTGCCTGCAACAATACATTTACAATGATCCTCTGCTAACATGAATGGGTTAAATGATCCATAGTACAGGGCTACATACAGATCATTTAATCCATTCATGTTAGTATAAATTTATTGTCTGCACTGTATTAGCAGCATATACTCCATATAGAGTATATACTGCTAATACAGTGAAGACAATACATAATTGCTTAATAAATCTCCCCCCCAAATCTGCCCTCACTCACTGTGTCCGTGTGCCGGAGAGAGCAGGGACGAGTCAGCGGCGCGCTGGTCCAGTGGGAGGAGCTCCAGGTGGGGTCATGTGAAAATAAGCGCATTGTTTAACAGGAATGTTCAGAACTTCAAATAATCATTATCCCATCAAACATTCACATTCACTACAATAGCTGAAGGAATAAACACAGTTTGCCTCGGTTCCTGCTCATTCTCCACAGAACAATAAAGAATTGCTTGACGGGTTTCCAGCCTATTCAGATGAGGCTCTGATGGCTGATGCTCAAGTGACGCAATCATTTCCTTTCTCGTGATACAAGACCGCTACATCACCTTGTTATAATCCTAAAGATCACAGAACAATGTGTAACCCCTAACATGGGGGACAACCCAGTCTTGGAAATAGACCCAGCAGAATTCTTAACCAGCTGATCAGCAAAAGGTTCTGAATGGAGGACACTCCTGCAAACAAGTAGCAGCGGGAGGAGAGGTATTGAGAGATTTTTCCTTCCCCTCTGAATATAGCTGCTGTTTTTGCAAGGAAGACATACTTGAATTTTTCTGGACGTTATAAAAATAACAGTTGGTGACAGATAGAAATGGAAACTGGGGATTCCTTTGAGTTCGTAGCATGGTGAGTGAAACTTCCTTTACTAAATGAGATGGAGGATTTAGAATAAAGGCTGGTGCAGAGCAAGACGTATGCAAGAGGAATAGAACTTGCATCAGACACCATCCGTGGGGGGAAAGAGGGCACTGTAACTTTAACTTACCATGGAAGAAAAAAAAAATGCTATATGTAATATAAGCAGGGGGAACATATTTCTGTTTGGAGAGGCATTGCGGCCTAATGCTCTCCTATGACACAGGAGCTGAGAGAAAATGTCCCAAAAAGGTAATTACAAGCCAGATTTCCAACCACGATACCTGCTGAACATTTTTACTGAAAGACAGCACTGAAAATAGCCATTTTCAATAAATATAATGTATACGAACATTTCATAAAGTGCATTAAAACTTTTTGAATCGTAAAATAAAGTCAATGATATCATAGGTGTCCCTGTCAGAAACATGACAGCAAGAAATATACAGTCCTACCATAAATAATAAAAGGCCACATTTCAAATATTTAAGACAGGTCCGGTCTTGCTTACCTGATAAGATCACATTGCCAAACCTCTCCCTCTGGAGAGAAGCTGCTGACTCCTTCTCTATATAGAAGGCCGTGCTGTTCAGTGAGGGCCCAAACCACATTGTTTCTGGCCGTGATCTGGGATAGCGGGCATGGGCAGTCAACCTTTATAGCTCTGGCACATGGGCGGTCCACGCTGAGGCCTGGCAAAAAATGAAGGCCAGAAAGTATATTTACTGAGGCTTACTTCACTACTCTGTGTACCAAAGTCAACCATATTCAAGGTCCTTTGGTCACTTCACCAGAACAGTCAGAAACACCAAAATACCAGTTCTTCACTCAGATACTTGTATAAAATACGCAGCACGCCCTTGTCAGCACAAAGGATGTTATATTACATGGGTTCTGTGAAATGTGCACAGTGATAATGGCTACACAGTGGTGGGTGACCACACACATACCTGTTTGTAAGTGCAAGTCTCCATTCGTCCGGATGATCCAGGCAGTATCATCGCTCAAAGCAACAAATGAGGCATGAGGTAAGGCCTCGTACCAGTGCCTCTTCCCTTTTATTGTTACCTTCCCGCAAGCAAAGGCTTTGTCTGTCTTCTGCTCTATTTTCCACAGCAGGTTTCCTGTAGATGGTAAACAGATCCTGATTATTGCAGCTGCAAACGGAGGTTACATTCTAGAGAAGAAACTAGAATTAGAGGCATACTAAAGGCACTGATGGCTTACTCCATTAGGACAACTAATAAGCGATGATTACACACAGTAAATCATAGCAACATATCAGAGTATCAGACTGTAGTTTATTGTATCAAGGCCAGAAATAGCTATGCTTTAATTTCTTCGCTATGCTCTTCACTTAAAGCAAACCAGTTCAGGGCAAAGCACAGGGTTCGCTTTAATCACCACCTCTCCCCGATGTATACTTACCTTTCCATAGCTCCTGTACTGCTTGGTTTTACGCTGGGAGCATAAGGAAATACCCAGTACTCCCACATGTCTACCAAAACATAGCTTCTGTACCACTTGGTTCAGCGCCGGGAACATAAAGGAAATACCCAATACTCCAACATCCGAATGGATTGGCAGGGGAGCAAACAAAATGTAAGTATATGCTGGGGAGGGCGCATTAAAGTCAACCTTTTGTTATCCAATACTTTGGAAAAGTTCACTTTAAAGTGTATCTCTACCAAAACATAGCTTCTGTACCGCTTGGTTCAGCTCTAAGAGCAGAAGGGAATACCAAATACTCCCAAAGCCAAATGGATGAGGAGGGGAGCAAACGAAAGGCAATTATATGCTGCTGGAAAGTACTTTCAGTTTAGTTTTTTTGCTTTTTGTTGCTTCCTGTTTCCAGTTGGGGCGATTTCCTTTCACTTCTTTTCCCAGATACATTCCAGGAAGTGAGAGGACGGTGAAAATTCCCACTTAGAAAGCCGTCACCAAAGCAGGTGTCCTCATTAGAAGATTTTTCCCTCATCTCCATATAATTTGGAATCACTGTCTGTTTGCCCTGGTGACTTGTCACCTCAAGCTACAAAGAGGGAAAACAGACAGCAATGAAAACCTGACAGCCGTTAGAAGTCACCTTTCTATGCTGTACTTAAAGTGACATTAAAGGCAAAAATGTTTTTGCCTCAACACAACGTTAATGAAAGCACTTACCTTAAATTATGTCTCTTAATCCGATCAACTTCTTCTTTCCTGTAGTTTTCAGCCTTCTCTCCAGCGCTGCGGTGAGTGTCCGATCCAGCGTTGACTCCTCTGTGATTTCTGGCACTTCCTGTCCCACGGTGTTTGCATGCGGGTGCACGCGTCCATAGATTTACCTTGCGTCTCTCCTCGCGTCCCGGACGAAAATGTGAACTGCGCATTTGCCCGCCCCAAGATCCTTTGCGGTTGCCCGTGCAGTTTCACATTTTCGGACGGGAGCGCGCAGGGAAGATACAGGTAAGTTTAAGCCGCTGTTAAAGCGTTTTGTTATTTAAAAAAACCTTTTGCATAGATCTACTGCTCGCTAGCAGTAGATCTATGCAAAAAAAGCTGAGGGTTTAGAAACCCTTTAAGAACTGAAAAATGGTGTTGGTGATACCTGAATGGGTTGACTGGAGTGATACGGCAGTTGAGAGTAATACGTCACAGGAAATGAAAAATCACAGTGACCAGGTGCTACCATGGTAAGATGGCATAGACCTACAAGAAGCAACAATGATGGAGGACCTAAGGGGGGCCCCAAACTGATCAGTGGTAAGCTGCACAATCTGTATACCACAGATTTCAAGGCTATAGTTACATCAAGTGAAAGCAAAGTAACCAGTGTTCTTTCAAAATAAAAAAATCCCCACCTCCTTCTATTTAGAGAAACTGTGCGCCTGCATGCAATCAAAGTTGTCAATGGTCGGAAGGAACTTCTCTTATCTGCATATTTCTGAAGACTGTCAAAATGTTTTGTAGTGAAGGATTGCAGGCTTGAAACTGGAGTGCATCAGCCCTGACTTTTTCTAATTCTGTATCAATATGAAATGCAGAATAATATACAATGTTGCAGAAGAACATTTCAGAATGCAGTGTACAATCCGCAGGAAAGTGATGCAGACTTCCAAGGCTTGCCTACTTCCTTGAATGGGATATGGAGTCCTAATGTAATCTCTCCGTCTCCTTACCCAGTACTCCCTGGAATCTTTGGATAAGGTCCCATTAACACTTCTGTTTAAAACTGCACACAGATTTAATGCAGTTTTAGGTGCGCCTCTACTTGCACTGCTGCGCATCTAACATTTTTTTGCGGTTTTAATGTGTGTTGAAGGTGACTGGAAAAAAATTATGAGGCTGCCATTACTGAGATCTATCTGAAAATTCTAGGTGCCAGGCTACATTCTCAACAAGAAACATACAAATCAGGAATGTCAGAAGTCCTTACCTTGTTCCAGGTCAGTGACTAAAAGTACTAAAGCTAGAGGGTCATTATGACATCCAAGCAATTAGCAGAACAATTTTCAGAAGAATAGGTCAGCAAGGGCAGCCATCCGGTTCCTCTGATAACATGACATTTTTCTTCTGTTTTCTGGTTTTACATTGCCATGTTTTGAATGTTTGTGTGTGATCACAGTGCAGCATCAATAACCCGACCTTGATGATGCCACGAAAGGTATGCGGAGAGGACGCCTTACATTACAGCTAACAGCAGCTGTGCAGTGAGACTGTTGCATGTCAGATTTAATTTCGTAATTAGTGCACCTCATAAGAGTTCTGAGGTGTGCACAACACCAGTGACACAATCATTTCTGCATTTTTCCACACAGGGTACGAGCAGAGCCATAGCCTGCTTGTAACTGCAATGTTACTTTGCTTGCAATATTCTGTCCTGATTTGCTGGTGAAGGCACCTCTGGAGGGGCTCTCAATGCCCAAGTATAAATTTCTACTTGTTGAATAATCTCAGACCAGATCCTTTGGTATAGAACACAGGTGAAGGAGTGTCACAAATTCTGTATTTGCCACAGATAAAAAATTTGCAGTAAGTCCAAACAATGGAATGGAGGAGTAAAGGACAGGCAGATTTATGGCTGCCCAGCAGTTCTCATGACAGTAACAGCCTGTTTCTGGCCATAATACTCTAGGTACAAAACCAACTGAAGTAATTGATATGACTTTTAAACTTATTGTAAAATGAATGTAGCAGATCGTTGTGAGGTGGTGACCCTGTCATTACCTGCTGCCCAGCTTCTTGATTGCCTGGGAATTCGGCGCCATGCTGATTGGCCGGCTCCATGCTGATTGGCCGGCTTGATGTTGATTTGACCAGGAAGCCGGCTTCCCGACCAATCAGGAAGCCGGTAGGTGAGTCATTGCCTGCCAACCGGCTCCCTGATTGGGTGTGAAGCTGGCTCCATGCCGATTGGGTGGGAAGCCAGCCCCATGTTCCCTCGGGGCCCTGCCGGTCAGAGGAACTGGAAGTTCAGGTATTGGGGAAGGTATTGGAGCATTTGGGTACGAGTACTCGCCCAAATACTTGATATCGGCATCGGCGCTTTCCTATTTAATTGTTCTATTGAAGCATGCATCCAAGAAATGAGAGGGACAGCGTGTTCTTCCCCTGTACTTCCTGGATCACAGCGGAGTACCAGCGGGAATTGTGGGTATCGGTCACTTAGCACATTGTCAACATGAAGGCAGATATGAGTGGGCAGAGTGATCTGCTCGACTGCCTTTATAGTCCGGACACTGGGTGAAATAATTGCCCCGGGACAAGCAGGAAAGTAAAAAGACCCCCTGCGCCCCCCAAAATCCAACAAAAATATTTCCAATCAAATATACCAGTTGCAAAATACCATTTAAATAATGTTGCTCCAACATTGTAAATATATAAAATCGCAATGCAACGGAGGGTCTGTAGCCTTGCGTCTGTACTCTTCAATTTCCATGCAATCTGATCTGTTGCGATTTTTAGGCTTTTGGTTTTTTTTGCTTCTTTTTTGGTCAAGCTTTATGTGAAGTGGCATGTCCAGAGTGGACTTACTTCACTGAAGCTTGTGATGCAATGCATTCGCACACATTTTTGCAGCATTGCTCTGCTGTCCAATGCGCTGGAAAAAAAAAAAGTAGAGCACGGTCTACTTTTTTCAGCGCAATGTACAGCATCGCAATGCACCGGTCTGACTGTCCCATTCACAGTAATGCATTTTTTGTTGCCCTTACAATACCATCCGTTGAAAAACAGATGTTAACGCAACAGATTCGGTGTGAATGGGGCTTAGACGGAGAAGAAAAACTTGACTGAATGAACAAAAGCCAACATTAAGCTTCCTGTTCCTTGCGATAGCAGATGGTTCATTTGTAACAAGGAAACTTTAGACACATTTGTTAATAATGAGAAGGAAGCCGCACTGCATGTATCAAGTATGAATGTCATGAATGCAGAAGGTTATGATTTATCTTTAACTTCAATACCAACCTGAGGGAGAGACTGCCACCTGCTGGACTGTATCCTCGAACTTCTGCCAGCGCAGGCCGGCTCCGGGCAGGGAACTGCAGTACAAAGACCCTTTGTAGTCCAAACACCAGATGTATTTCTCTGACACAACCAAGCTGAGGATGCCACTGGTCGGCCCCGAGTAAACCATCCAACTCTCTGCAAGCTGACAAAAGAACAATGACAAACAAGTCAGAAAGAGCACATGTCTACACTGTGGTTATCTTAGGTGTTGGACCTCTAAGGCAACATATGGTTTGTACAGTTACAACTGTTAAGTGTATGTCTGGGCAAAATAAGAACAAAACAAAACAAAAAAATCAGCATATGCAGTATATCTTTGAAATACATGTAGTTTATGTTTTGTCTCTTTAAAGTACATAACAATACCTGTTGATATCATCAAAAAACAGAGAGCTCTTAGAGAACTATGAGCTGAGTGCTTTTCACTCACCTCATAGTTCTAGCCGACCTGTGACAATGAGACTGTCACAGGTCGGCTCAGTAGATCGGGAGGTGAGCGAATAGATACCGGCGTTCGCTCACCTCTCGATCCTGTCACGGCTCTCTGCCGTGACAGGGGAGGGGCTGGATTCCCCTCTTCCCGCTCCGATCCACCAGCGCTGACTGGCGGAACGGACGGGGGAGGGTACAGCTGGCTCTGCCTCTAGATAGGCAGAGCCAGCTGTCAGTCACGCAGCTGGGCGGATCCCGGCACAATTGTCAGCTGGGCGGATCCCGGCGGCAGCTCACGGTATACTGCGCCGTCTCAGTATACCGCGAGCTGTACCGAGCCTAGGGTGACGGGAGAACGCTAGTTTGTGTCCTCCCGTTACCCTAAGGAGAACTATGGGGAAAAGCCTTAACCCCATAGTTCTCCTTTAACCTCCAGCTGACAATGCTGCCTCTGCTGCATTCAAATCCCAAGCACTGCCTAGGTTATCCCCTGCTGCACTACAGAACACCTTACCATCTCTATACCATAAGGGGAGAGTTCTGTAGTTCAGAAGGGAGAACTGAGCAGGGCAGATAACAGTGCTTGGAATTTCAGTGCAGCGGAGGTAGAACTGTCAGCTACTACAGGGAGTTAGAAGCTCGCTGGATTTTTGGCAGGATCATAAAGTATTTTTCTCTACTTGCAGAATTTTTTAAACCAACAAAAACAGAGAAATGTGCAGATTTTGCAGAGATGTACTGCATATGTTTTTTCTACTATTTTTGTCCAGCTATACATTGATCCATTTGTGAGTCTTATCTCTGCTAAGGTAGGGTCGGATCAAGGGCGTCCCGAGGCCGGGTGTCACCCGGAGTGGATACCGGGTGACACCCCACTGTGACGTCATCGCGCATGCGCGGTCATCTTATTGATACCTGCTGGTGGCCATACCAGAGAGAGGAGGGGACGTTTGCCCGGCCGGGTCCCCTCCTCTCTCCTGAAACTGTCAGGCTCTCGGTCCATGACCGAGTCCCCGACTTTTCAGAGGGGGGGGGGGGGGGGGGACACCAAAATGACTGTCATTTTGGTGTCCCCCCTCCAATGGTGTCACCCGGGTGATGCCACTGGAAAAAGAAAAGGGAAATTTCTTATTTGTAAGTGCCATCCATTTTACTTGTCTTGTATGTAGTGGAATCTATATTGCAGAGTTATTACTGTACAGCTTTTTTTTTTTTTTCTTTCAATAATGCAGCAGTGGGTTCAAACACTTCTCAACTTTTCATTACTTTCTGTATCTGCATTGAGAACTCCCATCACTTCCTGTCTTGACATCCGGGTGTCAGGGACAGAGAGTAATGGAAATCTTCTATAATGGAGACAAAAGCTGCAACAAAGGCTCCTTTTAGTAGATTGAGGAAGGGTTGGAACCTTCATTGGGTTGTCACTGCTTTGTCTTTTTACCCAATGACACTTGTTTTTAGTGGATGGAGAGATTTTTGTACAGATACAAATGCAATCTCGTTCCCCATATGCCCCCTGCAGCTAAGTGGAAAGCCCTGGAATACAAATTTCCCTGAAACACATTGGGGGGAATTTACTAAATGTGGAGCAGACAGAATCTGGAACAGCTGCACCTAGTAACCAATCAGCTTCTCTCTTTATTATGTCCAGTTAGGCAATGAAAATGAAAGCTAGAAGCTGATTGGTAGCCATTCACAACTGCTCCAGATACTGTCTGCTCCCGTCTTAGTAATTTTCCCTCATTGTGTTTGTCTCACCTGCTCAGATTTCAGCAACAAGCTTTCTTCCTGCATTGACCGGGTTAGGTCTTGCGAGACTGCCATTTCTGCCACGCTGGCGTCCGAGGAAGAGTGAGGGATGCGGTGGCCGTATATATCCTCCTCGTCGCTGGATGCCAGCGCATGATCCTGCTCGTTCCTCTCCATCCTGCTGGTTTTGATAACCTGTAGGGGGTCACTTGAAAAGGCATACGCACTTGCACTCATGCTAGCCCCAATAAAACTGGGGGGTATGTGGCACTGGGTGTTTGACACTTGTTGTCGGTCCTCAAGTGTTTCAGTGCTGCCAGTCTGAGAATCTAAGGACCGCCTCCCCTCTGAGACACCGGTGAAGCAGAACAGTTCCCCAGAGTCTGCGTTGGTAATCTCTCCGGTTTCCCTTAGTGGATGACGCTCAGATACATTGTGGAGCTCCTCCTCTGGCGCAGAATCTGTACAGAGATTTGAAGCCAACGTTTCCACTTCCTTAAGAGTTTCTATATTATATAGAGCATCTGCTGCAGTTTCATTGACCGTGGCATCATTATTCTGTTCATATATTATCTCCTTCTCCTCTCCGCTGCAGGAGTTGTTTTCGCTGTCGATGTCGGGAACCGGAGAGTCAGAAGTCTGTGTGGCACTGAAAACGCCGGACGTGTTGTCCTCAGCTTGGCCCTTGCCGCTTGCCAAGCTCTCCTGTGAGCTCAGGTGATCGGCACTGCCACCAGGCAGACTCACAGTGCCGGAAAAAACGTAGGAGGTTAGGGAGAGCGGACTGTCAACACTGGGAGTACTCTCAAGTGAGCCAACATGGCTCCTGGAGCCATTATCTGAAAAATACATAAACAGTATATAAATGCATGTAGACACACACACACACACACACACACACACACACACACACACACACACTGCAATAACTAATACAATCATTTATCCTTATTGGCAGCAAAGCTCCGGGCAACACCGGGTCAGCCAGTGGACAACCCAGGCTACCCAGGAACCCTACAATAGAAAGTTGATTCAATTTAAAGTAGAACTATGTTCAAAGTAATTTGTCTTTCTTTTTAAAATGCTGCCCCCCTGAACCTTCTTTACACCCTTCATGGATTTAAAGGTTTCAGTCATGTATGCCCTTTTCCTTCTTACCTCAAGACTGTACATATTAAGCCCCTGGAGTATCTCCTGATATGTTTTATCCCTCAGACCTTTCACCATTTTTGTTGCCAGTCTCTGGACTCATTCTACCTATCAATATATTTTTGCAAGTGAGGTCTCAAGAACTGGACATGGTATTCTAAAGGACGTAAATAGAAGAATCAGGACCTCCTTCCTCCTGCTTGGGATCCCTCTAGTGATAATAAAGATCTATATAGAGGAATCAGGACCTCCTTCCTTCTGCTGGCGATCCCTCTAGTGATAATAAAGATCTATATAGAGTAATCAGGACCTCCTTCCTTCTGCTGGGATCCCTCTAGTGATAATAAAGATCTATATAGAGGAATCAGGACCTCCTTCCTTCTGCTGGGATCCCTCTAGTGATAATAAAGATCTATATAGAGGAATCAGGACCTCCTTCCTATCAAAGTACCGCAGCGATGAATATTGAAAAATGGCCTGGATGGGAAGGGGGTCTAAACACCTGGTCTTGAAGTGGTTAAACTGGAAGATTTGCTACTGTACAGTTCTGACATGACATTTACTCAGAGCAACAGCGCCACCTTTTGGTGTGTAAAGATTATGTCCCACATTAGATAATTGCCACTAAAAATATTGCATCAAAACACACTCTATAACACAACTTCAATAACAAAACAGCCTTGTAATACCTCTATGCGCATGGAAACAAATATTAACTTGTATGTGTAGCCTGTCGAAGCTGCCAAAGGATAGAACAAGGACACACACATGCACAGGACAAATCACAGTGATCCGTGATGATCTTACAGTAAAGAAGTCATAAGATTAAAAATTTAAGCAACCAACATACATGAATATTAGGCATCTATAGGTACTTCAGTGTACAGCTACATACACTATATTGCCAAAAGTATTGAGACACCCCTCCAAATCATTGGATTCAGGTGTTCCAATCACCTCCATGGTCATAAGTCTATAAAATCAAGCACCTCGGCATGCAGACGCTTCTACAAACATTTGTGAAAGCATGGGTTGCTCTCAGGAGCTCAGTGACTACAAGCGTGGTACCGTGATAGGTTGTCACCTGAGTGCTGGAGCCCGCCAGGTGCCCAAAGCCCAGCGGATCAATTATGCAAATCTTGAATTCTGTAGAAAAAGTTGAGCTCAATAAAACAACTCCCAAAGCAGCATCTCTCTCTAGCTCTGGGAAGGGGGGGGGGCACCTAATGTAGATGCTCACTATTAATTGAGGGTTATTATTATTATTGTGGTTGCTTTTCTTTAAAGCTGAATTTTAATCTTCTTATATTTTGCTTTCCCTGGTTTCTCCTCACCTTTGAAGTGCTAATTAAAATACTCACAGTGCTCACAGTGTGCAGCGAAATCAGAGGAAGCAATTTCAGTCCAGGAGAGGAGTACAACTGTGCGGGACTGAAGAGAAGGCCCGGGTTCAGATTTAACGTGACCCTCTGCCCAGTTGACAGTGTCGAGGAAAGGGTTACCTGAAAAGAATACCTTTACCTCCACTACAGACTGCACCACTGAATCCCAATGCATCGATGAGGAATCGTTTCAAGAAGTCTGCAGGGAAGCTGATCAAGGATGTCAATCCCCTATGTCCACCATATATATTGAGGTCAAAGAAAGGAGCCTGTAAACGACGCGAGGTACCAAGCAGATCAACACTCCTGGAAGTGTCAGCTTCCCAGCAGACTTCAGGGGGCGATTCCAAATAACGAAGCAGTGTTCGGGAGAGGTAAGGATTTCCATTCTTCTTTTCAGGTCACACTTTTAGGATCTGGTTCGCTTTAAAGCCCACCTCTAACCAAGACCCATTTCATTTATGATAGAGTGGGGAAGAGTTCAAACCTGTCAGGTTTTTATTGTGTCATGAGATCCTGTATTTTTTTTTTTTTTATTTCCTTTCCTTATCCAGTTGACATCCGCGGTGTTAAACCCCCTTCCCATCCAGGCCATTTTTCAGTATTCAGCGCTGCGGTACTTTGACTGACATTTATTCCGTCATGCAGCGCTGTACTGAAATTAATTTTATACCCTTTTTTGGGGACACATAGAGCTTTCTTTTGGTGGTATTTATTCACCACTGGGGGTTTTAATTTTTTTATATATTAAGGAAAAATTACAGATTTTAAAAAAAAAACAGTTTCCAACTGGTGGAAGGGATGGGGGAGGGGCAGGTAAAGCTGGCTCTGCCTCTAGATAGGCAGAGCCAGCTGTCACTCACGCAGCTGGGCGGATCCAGACTTAATTGTCGGGATCCGCTTCAGCTTCTCAGTATACCGCAAGCTGTAGCTTGCGTTATACTGAGCTTAGGCTAAAGGGAGGATGCTAGTTTGTGTCCTCCCGTTACCCTAAGGAAAACTATGGGGAAAAGCCTTAACCCCATAGTTCTCCTTTAAGCTGCAAGATGAGGCATTCTGGACCTAACACAAGGGACAGTTGTATGTTTGAACCTCTGCTATATTATGCTCACTGACAGCAACGCTTCATGCAGCACAAATGTCTATTGTATCATCAGATCATTGCTGCCAAAACACAGCAGCTAATTTTTAAACTCTTCCAACGATTTTTTCATGATAAGCGATGAACAAGGATAAATAGAATAATCCAAAAAACACCCTCAGCCCCTTCACAAAGAAGATTGTAGTTTTCAAACAAGTTTATGCTACATGCAATTTTTTTTTCCAGTGGAACTAAACTGACAAAAAGTAATCTTACTTTTGTGGAGCACAGTGTGGAAAACATGATTGCATGTTTTTCTATTAAAAAAACAGCATTCCCTTATTTTTACTTACTGAAGGATCTTTGCATGAACTCCCAATGGATGTGACCCTCCAGCAGCGACTGACTATCACAGTTTTACTGCAATTACTGTAAATACTGTGTTGGCACAGCGACTTGTAGGATACCTCAGGAAAGGGTGACACTGCTGCAGCTGAGTAAGCGTTGTCACCCTGGGGATATACTTTGCTTGCTTAATTTAAATGAAAAAAAGTTTAACATTTTGACAGTTAAGGAACATGTGCAAGAACATATTTGCTTTACGTAAAAATAGTTATTGGAACGGTTTAGGCCACTCTTCTGCAGAGGTCACATCACATTGGAAAATGTCTCACTTTAATGAGTTCCCATCATGCCCAAGGCAGTGGATTTTGATACTACCAAACTTATATGGACTCTATAAATCCCCTAATTTAAAGAGGAATGATTGCTAAGGGTTAATGTTGCTTACACATCACCAATGTACGTTACCTTGCCTTTTCTTTTTCTTCTTCTTCACTTTAATGGCTTTCACCACCAGTTCTTGGTCAAAGTCCTCATTGCTGATGGTACTGAACCTCTGTGACAAAGACCGCTGTGTCCTCACTGTGTTACGGGGAGAGCTGGGATCCTGTTCCGTCAAGCTGTACTCGCAGTCCAGGGAGTTCCGTGTTTGGCTTCCCCTGGTCACCTCTACAGGCAGAGAGCTCCTCCTGACTTTAAGCTCCATCCCTGACTCTTGGCTATCTTCCTCGGTCTCCAAAGGGCACAGCTGGATCCTCTCTGTATGCACTGCCTGGGCAGCAGGCATCTGGTCTTCTGTTACAGCAGACACTGACTCATTGCAGGTATTATTCTCCAGCTTTGAGTGTTTCGCAGGCACACGGAATGGGCTATGTATGGCAGCTATGAAAACAAAATGAAACAGAATTAAAAGCGCTTTCAAGGAAGAGAGAGAATAAAAACATGGAAAACAATAGAGCAGACATTGTGTGAAATGAAAGGCCTGGTTATCTTGTATTCCCCTTTCCCTGCAATTAAAATCACTGAAAGAAATAAATATAATAATAAAACGTCGAAAGAAAAATGTGAAGAATACTAACACACCAGCTCCTGACAAAATCACCCAGGTAGGGGGGATATCACAGGGTCCTAGAAAAGCTGACAACACCAAAACCCCATGAGAATGTGGCCCTGCACAGTGCTGGAGCATCTTCTTGAAAGATTTAGAATCTTCATCTTTTCCAGAATCCTGCGGTGGGGCCCAGTGACATCACTGACAGAAGTGTTAGGAGTCCAGGTGGAAAGTTCATATTTTTTTTCATTTATCTTCTAGTGTTTTAGTTTTTTTATTGCTTTCAGTTATTGTATCTTATTCAGCAGGTATAAGGGGGGCTTCAAGATAATTGTTAAGTTTTAGCCAATTTTAACTAAAACTTTTATAAGATATAGAACGGTCATGCACAGAAATTTTAAAATGTCATATTAAAACGATAGCATTTGAATCAATGGCCAGCTGATTTGCTAAGGAAAGTCAAATGTATTTTCTTTGCAACCACAGCAACAGTATACTGTATCACATTTCCACCCTGCTGCTCATGGAATGGGCCCACAATTTTTTCTCTAAAGTTTGCATAGAGCTTGAAATAAAACCCCGGGTATCCCCAGTGCGGTCTTTAGGTTTGCAGGAGTTCCATTGGTATTACACACCTACAGCAATGTCAAGGGTGCAAAGTTTCTTATTACACCGCTGGCACTGGTCATGTGATTACGGAGGGCAGGCCCTGCTTTTGTCAAGTTGTCCTTTAACTCAAAAGTATTTTTATTCTTAGAAATTCTGGACCACAATGAAATCCGATTTTCCATTAGCCATGTTGGATTTAATACAAGTTTCCAATTCTGTATGGAGATCTCATATCAAATAATTCAGATATGACAGTGATACAAAAGGCATCTACATACCCGAAACAGCCCCTTCTGGCATGTCAGAGATTCGAATGATCTCTCTGTCCCCTTTCAGAAGGAAGATTTCATTGTTTACACACGAGACAGAAACAATATCGCCGGCACTTTCCAGACCTCCGATGACGGCCTGAAAGGAGGAATAAAAAGTTTAAATTAAAAACAAAAGTTTTTCTTTTTCCCCAGGTGTCAATCACTGGTTTTTTTCCCCTCCAAAAAGCAGGACGTGTGTACTACAGGACAACTCCCTCTGTTTTCATCTCTATAACATGAGGGTGGTGCTCTTTCATTTTCAGAGGTACCCCGGAGCAGGGCTGATAAGCTGGCTTGGGATAACTGTGCTGCCACAATAGTTGTATGAAATATGATAATTCATAGTCATAGTTAATATTCACATTAATGTGAAATGAGAATTTAAATAGTTTATTTTCCTTATGCCATTTACTCATTGATATTATATGGTTAATTAATGTGCTGCCATCTTGTGGTCATTCTAGTTATTGCACGTTTTCCTGTGTTCCCTCCCATACGTGATGCATTTCCCCTTTCTTATTAGTAGCCACCAGTGTCATGGCTGACAGTAACATGACCACATGTTAATCTGCATTGCTTGGAACCATAACTATCTCCGACCTTCAAATACCCTCTGTTCATTCATCTGATGTATCCTGTTGTCAGCTGTAACTAACCAGCTGCAAGCAATAAAGCATTTTGTGGATGAAAAGGTATTTGGTGAGTTCAGCTATCTGATAAGGATTGTCCGCAGTGATTATATCTGCTTATACAGGCCAGGCATAGAGGTCTCCGCAAGGGATAAAATCGCTAATACAACAATTGGAATCCGAATAATAACACAGCAGAGAGCACGGGACAGTACTAGATTTCTGACAGGATCAGCAATTGTTTGCATTTATCAAACAGATATAAACAGAATGCTTGTATTTGCACATTTAATACCAAAAGAAGAGAAGTTTGTGGTTAGGGTTTACACGCACTTTAAATAAAAGAACAAAAACTAGCAGATTAGTGGATAACAGTTTGGATCTCAATCCGCTCAGTCTATTTAAATCATCTGTAAACATGCTAGGTTTGGTTACCTGATTGACAGTGTCTATGATGTAGATGCTGTACTCGTCCCAGCTCAGAACCCATCCTTCATGCAGAAAACATGACAAAAGGCCCAGGTGCTTCTCACAGAGTTTATAGCTTTCCTGGTTCGTCGTCTCAACCCGAGGATACAACTCAAAGGATTCCAGTCCGCGAGATAAAATATCCTTTAATATAAAGGTAGACTGGACGAATCCTTGGACATCAGCCTTCCAAAGTCGCAGTCCGGGTCTTCCGGCAAATAACGTTAAGTCGCTTTGCTTGCAGAGCCCAGGTATAAAACAGGCTCCATATCTGCCATTACTAAAAAAAAACAGATAACATTGTGTACTGCTTTGTATTTAAATAAAAAAATAAAAGAAATGAAAACAGCACTGCAAATAGAAAAATGTCATCCACCAGGTACTAAGCAGCCTGCAGTGCCAGATACCAGGACAAATCTCTAAATAAATCCTATTATCAATTTTGTCTCCTTTTCTGAACCTGGGAGGGTTGCTGTCTGCTATTGAGTGATGAGGCTGGGCTTGGTGTGAATGGAGATTGTCCAAGCCCACTCAAATCTCTTACTGCTACTCCCTCCTCCCAATCCAATCAGTTGCGGGGAGGTGTATTCTCTGCCCTGCAGCTATATGTCACAAAGGGGCGGGGAACACCCGACTGCAACTGCCACCAATGATTTGGGTCAGGAATAGGGGGTGAAAGTCAGACTTTTGAGCGGGCTTGGGCGCACTAAGCACCAAGCCAACCCTCATATCTGCCGCTCATCTCTCCAACCCATTTGCAACCCATTTGTAAAAATAAGGTAACTTTGACATGCATGGTAGCAACACGTCTCAAACATTGGTACAGGGCAACAAAAGAACTGGCAAAGTAAGGGGTACTAACAAGGAAGAACTGGAGGAACGTTTTGCAACTTATTAGGTTAATTGAGAACAGGTCAGTAACATGATTGGGTATAAAAATCTATCATGCAAAGAAGAAGCCACATGATCCAGAAACGTTGCCGTCTTCTCTGTGCCAAATCTCATTTAAGACGGTCTGCCACAAAGAGGAAACAGTTCTGTGGTCAGATGAATTGAAATTTAACATTCTTTTTGGCAACCATGGGCGCCGCGTCCTCTGGACTAAGGAGGAAAAAGACCTTCTGGCTTGTTATCAGCGCTCATTTCAGAAGCCTGAATCTCTGATGGAATGGGTAGCTTGCACATCTGGAATGGCACCATCAATGCTGGAAGATATATCCAGGTTTTAGAGCTACATATGCTCCCATCCAGACAACGTCTTTTTCAGGGAAGGCCTTGTATATCTCAGCAGGGCAATGCTAAACCGCATACTGCATCTATGACAACAGCATGGCTTTGTAGTAGAAGAGTCCGAGTGCTTAATTGGCATGCCTGCAGTCCAGACCTTTCACCAATTGAAAATATTTGGTACATATTGAAATGAAAACTACGACAAACAAAACCCAGGACTGCTGAGCAGTTACAATCCTACATCAGGCAAGAATGGGACATCATTCCTCTCCCAAAACTCCAGCAAATGGTCTGCTCAGTTCCCAGATGTTTACAAAGTGTTGTTAAAAGAAGAGGGGATGCTACAGCGTGGTAAACACGGCCCTGTCCCAACTTTCTGGAGACGTGTTGCTGTCATGAATTTCAAAATTACCTTATTTTTTTCTTAAAAATAGGGATGCACCGATACCAAGTACCGTACTCAGTACAAGTACAGATACTTTGAGCTCCAAGACCAGACTAGAGAAAAACACAAAAAGTTAGGAGGCAGCTGTCATTTGTAAGGAGCACACGGAGCTCCTGGGATTTGTACATCTCTGTTTTAATGTATGATTTGGTTTTTATAAACATATACATATATATATATATATAAGGAATGCACCGATACCATTTTTGCAAGTATAAGTACTGATGCTTGTCCAAGTACTTACTGATACATTGTTGTTTAGTGTCATGTGACAGTTTTTCTAAATCAATACAGACTAATGATTTCAGGACAGTGGTGGAGTGCCAGAGCTAGATCCCAGCTGCAACCACTGCAACCCTGGTAGTTCTCATGAAAATGCCAAGTATCGGCACTGGTATCTGAACATATGGTCAGATTTTCAATTAATCCTCTAAGCGAAAATCGAAGCAAACAGCTGATGACACGGTTCTAATACATATACAGTATTTTACCAGTACAAAGTTATGCAATTGATCAGCCAGTCTTGTGACTCACACACCTCTGTCACACAGCATAGCCAGGAGGATTCAGCTTTGCAGCCTCCTGTGTCATCTGCCTATTCACCATAAGCAGAGTGATGCTACTTCAGTCTTTTACGCAGTCTGGAGGTAGGGAGGTGATACAAGAAGCTGCAGAGCTTTAGTAGTCATTAGTCTTGTGTCACCATCCTAGCCATACACTGCGGCAAAAGGTGAGAAAACCAGAGAATTGGCTTAACAGATTTGCAATTTATTTGGCAGATACAAACAGATCACATCTCCTCCAGCTGTCCCTGGAGTCTTTCGATAAGCAAGGTGCAACAGATCATGGAAAAAAGGGTGTTTAAAAGGAAAAAAGAATCCAAAGTCCTATAGAAAGTTGGTAGGTGACTAAATGGGACTACTTACGATTTTCTAGGCTGGTTCCCCACTTGCTCGACAGACTTCTCCTCTGTGTAGAACAGCAAACATCTCTGAGTGGTGGACACCAGCAAGATCTTTTGGCTGTAATCCAGCTGAACTATTGAGGACAGCTCCTCCAGTATAAGGCTAGGTTTACAGGATCCCTGGAAAAGATGTACACAGGAGGGATCAGTAAAAGAACCCAGATAAAAAATAAAGTACATTGAGAAGCCATGTCATCTGTTTCCCCAAAAAGTGTGAGAACACACCTTGTCAAAGTCCAAATTAGACTGAATGATTTTCCCCCGATTATCTCCAGAGAATAGCTTCATCCCATTGGGGCTCCAGGCCAGGGCAGTGATGCTGCTCTTGTGAATGCCGAGTACATCAAACCTCCGTAACTGCAATGCAAAAATGGTGATCAGCATTATGAAGTGCTATTGCCAAGGGCTGCACTAATTCCAGGACCTTGGGGGCCAATACACCCAACAAAACTGTAAGGCTTAAAGGCAGGGCTGGACAAATCCCAGAGGCAGGTAGCCAATGCTCCTTAAAAATTTCAGCTGGCGCCTAACTTTACAGGTTTTTGCTAGTTATCAATGGAGCGGACTCCTAAAAAAGCAATTCTGCTGGCTCCTGGATTGGACAGACTGGCTCCCAAATTCCAGATTAAATTGTCCACTCCTGTCTTAAGGCAAACTTAAAAGATCTGAAACATATATGCTTCCTGTTTTGGTGGGTAGAGAGCCTGGCCAGGGGTGGACAACACTGGCCCTCCAGCTGTTGTGGAACTACAGGTCCCCCAAGGTGTTGCTAGACTGACAGTTACAGACATGACCCCCAGAGGCATGTTGGGATTTGTAGCTAAAGCCCAGCTGCATAGTTGCTCACCCCTGACCTAGGCCTTACTATTGCCCGAAGAGGATGCCCATTGCAGTGAGGCTTAGGAGACAGGCCCTAGTTTTTAATCCTCAAACCCAAGGCTTACAGGATAACCACCAGTGTGCCGATGCTTGCTTATAGCCTAATGACAGCAGACTAAAGGCTAGAAGGTGACAAGATTCTGCACAGCTGCAGGTTCTGAATACGGTCATCACCTTCTAGCTTAACAGTGTGGCAGAGTGTGTGTGTAAGAGTCATAAGTGTGACAGAATAATGAATGTATTGGCAAGTAAAACATTTCATATATATGTACTAAAGCAACTAAGCAACTAAAGCATGTTAGTTTTCTGAGCCATCAACATGGCATTGCTGGTTTAAGCTCCAGAAAAGAGTGAAAATAATGGAGGTTTCGCTTACTATCCGTAGGCAAATTCTAACCCTACACTAAAGCCCCGTCCCCACCCTCTTAGACTTTACCTTGCCCAAAACCTTACAACGTAATCCCTAAACTATCTTTAAACGATATCTCTCCAATAAGACGCACAAGACCGGAATCCATAAAATGCAAGTTTATTGTTGTAAATTCCATACAGAGTCCAAAGTTTCAGGTGAATACAGCATATACACCCCCATAGGATCTCTCCCACTCCAGGGCCTCTCTATGATTAAGCCCAGGTGATGAAACCGGTGAGAGGCCCTGGAGTGGGAGAGATCCTATGGGGGTGTATATGCTGTATTCACCTGAAACTTTGGACTTTGTATGGAATTTACAACAATAAACTTGCTATTTTTTTGGATTCCGGTCTTGTGCGGCTGATTGGAGAGATATCCTTTAAGGAGTGGGAGCACACTGCAGCCTGTGCCCGGTGTGTATACTGATAACTTGCAGTCAGAGGTGGAATTGGAGCAGTGAGGTTTTGCCTTTCTAAATTTCCCAAAACTGTCTTGTTTGCCCTTGAAATAGTATTAAAACCTCACATTTTCTCAAAATTAGATTCATATAGCAGAGCCGAGCAGTGGACAATCCATGCTTACTTTAAAAATTGCAATAAAAAAAAACTTAGCTGTGCTTACTAGTGCATCCTCTGCCTTGCTCTGCCTCACTTCTCTGGACTTATGGTCAGGCAATGTGGAATGACAGCATAAAAGTCCCCTGATCACCTCCTTGGGACTACATGTCCATGATTCCAAGTGCCACCACACGTGCATGTTCTGTCTAGTCCTTTCTTGCCGTCTATGTTAGCATAGACATAGGCAGCATCCAAACACTGGCTTGTGGTATCTCTCCCAGAAACACCCACATAAGCGTGGCTCCATAGAACCCCACAAGGCAACGGAACCACTCCAGAAGAGGAAACCTGCGGCAGAGATCTTTGGACTGGCTCAATATAGAAAGGCAAACAAAAAAAGAAGAAAAGAAAGCAGAAAATGTAAGTACCGAGGTAAGCTGTTGTAACTGCTTTTAGGGTTTAATAACACTTTAACCTGCACCTTAAATATTGCAGTGCCAGGCTTCTAGCACCAAAGCAAAAGGATTCATGACAGCAATGCCTTCAAGCTCTGTGGGTGGATACACAATATATGATGTGCCACTGACCTGTTTGTTTCTGCCAGGCAGAGGGGACACCAGCTGGAAAATGGCAACCCTGCCAGACACCGTACCAACTGCGACTAGGTCATCAAAGCAGCTGAGGAGTTTAATGACAGTTATGGATTCGGTTTTACCCTGCAATAAAAAAAAAAAGAGAGGATATTATCCAGATCTATGTAAATATATATCCGAAAGAACAGGGGAGAGAACACATGCTGTCCCAGGGTACAATGAAAGTGATACACAAGCTAAACAGAAGTGCTGAACAAAGCATCGTCTATGTATCTCAGGAACCCTGAACTTGGGAAAACTCAACAAAGCAGACCTTGCAGTACAATACAATGTTCACCTATAATGTTCCCTAGGCTTTTGGTACCTGTAATGAAAAAAGTTAGATTTCATATTTACCTTTCCCCCGTCTAACGTAGTGCTGGGTATGACATATTAATGCACCACAACAATGCAAATAGGCTCTAAATGCGAATATGCTCCTTCTCATATCTCCTTACTTTGCGGTATGCTTCTGGCATCGCCCACTGTTTCAAAATTAGTCTGCAGAATCAAACAATTCTCTACTGCTGATCTGCAAATACATTAAGCCCTACCGGAGAAATGCCTGCCAGGAGCACCCTAACCTTACTGTAGTACAGCTCACAGCAATCTCAGCAAGAGGAGCATTTTATGATGTGTCTTGCCTGCACAACAACTCATCCAAAGAATAAGGACCCTTTCACACGGGGTGATGATGAGAATCACATAGGCTGATCTTGCAATGGAGGAAAAAACAGAAATAACCGAACCCCATGTTGGTCTGGGGTTGGACATGTGTCCATTTATATCAGGTTACCACCCGATCTGTCATGATCAGGCCAGGCTAAACGAATCTCACTTCTTTTTATTTTCCTAGACCTGGCCAGAGTCGGGGGTAACCGGGTGTAAACAGACACCAGCCCATTTACACACTGCTGCCCATGGACTGGCATTGGGCATCCGATCAGGTCCACTTGAAAACCTGATCGAATCGCCTGTGTGAAAAGGGCCTTACAGAGGAGACTTCTGCGCATCGCTGGAATACTGCCAATGAATGCTTTTCTGCATTCTGCATGAATGCAGAAAAACTTGCATATGAACAACTTGCATGGAAATTTTAATCTTGCCTATTTTATTCGTAGCACTTTGGTACTGAGGCAGAGAGAACTGCAGTCACAACATGCAGCGAGTGGGGCCAGAATTCCTATTCCAAAAGGTTCTGTTGGGGCGGAGGGGTTCTTTTAGAGCCTTGGTTCTCAACTGATGGGTCGTGACCCAAAAGTGGGTCGCGGCATGCTTTCCCCTTTTCTAGGCGAGAGGCTCCTCAGCCTCCCCTAGAGCAGCACTATCAGTTCTCGTGCCAAGCAGCCATTCAAAATATGCTGCCCGACGCCGAGTGTCAGCTTGAGGTGGGGTGGGCTGGGGTTATGGCAGCGAGGGAGCTCCATCCATACGTGCATTGCCTACAGCTCCCTCCCTTGTCCTGTAGAAGTGCCTGGACCAGAGTGACGTCACATTCTGGCCTCCGGCACCTCTACAGCGCACGCTAGGGAGCTGTACAAGCAATGCACATATGGATGAAGCTCCATCGCAGCACAGCAGCCCACACTGGACCCCAGGCTAAGGATCCACTCCAGTTCTCATAAGATAGAAAGACTAAGTGGATCTTAAACAAATAACTTTTTTTCGGAGTGTGTATGTGTGTGAGAATATGTCTGTGCTTCTGTGTGTCTGTCAGTGTTTTTGAGGGCCTGTTCACACCAGTACAGTGCATTAATCATACAGTCCCGTTCTGATGTGGTAGGTGTGTTGCATTGCCATTCATTTGAATGGCACCCCAAATGCACCTCCCACCCACAATTTGATCGGCCGCATCGGAACGCGTGGTACCACAATGCCGTGTGTTCCAGTGCAGTGCGACTTGGGTCATGACTTAATGACCAAGGACAAATGTGGGTCCTGAGGTTACACAGGTTGAGAACCACTGATTTAGAGTACATGCCATTAAAATATTTGGAGAAAGCAGAGTGTGGCAAAAAGCAGCCCTACTCAGCACATGACCACATGTCACACCTATGTCAAAGGTGTGTGTGCCAAATTTCAGTCTGGCTCCCAGATAAAACTGCTGCCACCTTTCACTAGAGATTGAACGCTCTATTATAAGGGGAGTTTCACTTTAAATCTTGCATTGCCTCCAAGCTGTGCATCTATCACATAAAGATTTAATTAATAATGACACACTAAGCACGCTGATTATCCCATTAGCAGCTGGCTGAAGGGATGAAATAATAAAATCACGAATGCTGATCAGCATCACAGAACTTAAAATGGATTTCAGCACTTATGCGCATGAGGAAAACGAAAGTTCAAGTGCTGTATTTTAATAATAGATTGGAAACCACATTTTTCAGTGAAAGGGAAGGAGAATATATTTCCGTAGGACTTTACTCTTTAGTCTCTGAGCAATTATATTTTAAGGAGTCAATCTACCCCAAAAAACGTATACTGAGACCTCTGCTTGGGGATCCTGGTCCTACACACCTGCCATAGCCATGGTCAATATCTAAAATCTAATAGCATATAATAGTATATCAAAGGTTTGAGAACTTCTCATGTTTTTCTTGAAATAGATTTTTAACTATCTTCCCACTCTAGCATTCTGTTATGGTCTTTAAAATATTTATTTCCCCCCATAGACCTGATGAAGGAGATGAACTGAACTTTGAAACGTGTTGGCCAAATCATTATTCTATTAAATAAGACACCTATGACTGAAAGCTATTCTTCTGCTTATTGGACAACTAAGGGTTTGATCCTACTGGTTGGAGTTCAGAGATTACTGTTTATATTTTTTTTATTTCATTCATTTGACTACTACCGGTACATTTTGTCCAAGCATGCTGCCTACGTTCTTTCACAGATAAGAGATTTTTGGTTTGGACCCAAGTGTGTTTCTTTCTCTGCAGGTTTCAGAGCTGTTTATGTCCCCACTGGCAAGATCTTCCATCATATGTGTTATCAGGACAACGAGGACACCCATACTTTTGTTAAAGAGACAGGAACTATGTCCCAATGGGGACATAGACAGCAATAAAAGACTGACCGTGGTTTGAACCCTTCCCCACGCTAATCAAAACGTTTCAAAAAATGTCTTTAAAACAAATGTAGAGTTTATTCAAATAAAAAAAAACTGTTTGGTAGAACAAATAGTTAAAACCCCATTCAGGTTTGTCTTATCATGTTGTCCCGTTGAGGAGATTTACCTATACTTCCTGTCCTGTAGACACATCTGCTCCAAGCTCGCTCCCGGGATGGACTACAATCTCAATACAAATTAGTAAACTAAACATGAGATTATAGTCCATCACAGGAGTGAGCTTGGAGTGGTGACCACTTTACAATACACAGGGACCATGGGGAACAAAAAGTAGCCCCCCTCCAGAAGGAACAACATTGTCAGCACCAATTCAGAGATGATTTGAGGATCTACAGCCGAGTGATACACAAATAAAATACATTGTTGTTAATAGGTAGGGTACTTGATTGTATTTATAAGCTTGAACTCCTAAGTTTAATGTCACTTTAATTTAATAGTTTAAAAAGTTAAAAATAAATGCAGTACTTTACCTCCAAATTATACTTTTTCATCTGGTTGGTATGCCGGCAGTAGAGATACAGCATTCCGATGCTGCTGCCGATTGCAATGTAGTCTCCATTGACGTCCAGTGCAGTCAGGTAGACGAGGAGGGAACGGAAGCCTTTCTGAACTTTAGCCGGGATGGCATTCAGAATGGAGTACAATGGACAGAATTCCTTAAAGGTTATATCTCCTGGTAAGTTGGCCATGGCTCCCAGTCTGTTACACGGCAGTACTATGTTACATCATTCCAAGGTGTCCCTGAGGGAAAAGGAGAAGTAAAAACAAGAACGCCACCATGCATGTTCTTCATCTAAACTGCCTGCATAGAGAATTCCCTAAAGCAATATTAGATAAACAACCATCACACACAAGTTTATGGGGTCCCCATGTCTCTATGGGTCATAAAGCAAGACATCTAATTTTACAGATGCAAGAATCTCTCTCCCCCTCCCTCTCTCCTGAATATATATTATATATATTCCCCTTCAAAGCAATAACTTGACTATGCAACCTACTGTACGTGGAGTCTGATTTAGGATTAAGGAGGATTAAGGTAAAAACACCACTGAGACAGATTATCTCATGTACATTCTGTATATAGAAAAGGTTTCAGAATTTCCTTTAGAAATGAGAATTTCCCCTTTTAAGACATTATTTGAATATGCTACCCACTGATAAAATATGTAAAGTCCTAGGTTCAGATAACAGTTTTCACTTCCCTTTTTTTTAAAGAACTCAGAAGATACCCCCATCGAGATATATTATGTATTCAAGAGAGATACCTTGTCAGTTAATTCTAAAGCCGAATTCCTTCACACCCACCACAGCGGATTTTTCTGTGCTACTTCCCCAGTAAATCCAGTGAAGTCATCACCCTAATTAAAACCTCATTTATTTTACAATTAAAAGATTACTATGGGGTAAGTGTTTTTCCCTATAGGTCTCTTTAGGGTCACGGGGGGGGGGGGGGG